TAGTGTACAGCGAAATAAACCGCGAAAAATAATCCGGTCGGCACAGGTTTAACCCTAAATAAGCTGCTTAAATATGCTGGGTAGAAACAGTGAAATAAAGTAAGTTCATATTTGTGTGTTTATTTTTTTAATCTATGGTTTTATTTCAAAACATTTAAATGTATATGCTTTAAAAATTTTGTTTTCCGTGATAATTTCATTGGCTCCAGAGGCATTGCTTAAACAAATTGAAAAAGACTGCACTAATTAAATCTGACTGTTTTTTAGTTATTTTTCTTGTGTTGTTACAAGTGTTTTCTTTTCTGGATATAAAGTATGTAAAAATTGTCCAGATTTTCTAGAAACCCGAACGCTTTCAGGTATTTTTTTAACCATTATCGAGGATGATAAAGTATGGTTTATTTATGCTGGTATCTAGACTTATAGGAATGTTTTAGTTTCCAAACATGGTCAGCAAATTGTGGCGGTATTCAAAGTTGATTTTACTGAGTGATGCCTTTTCTTTTTTATTATTATTAGTACTTCCATTACTTTTATTCTTTCTTTTTTTTTACATGTATATGAAGCTATTATACTTGTATTTTCTACAAATATGTTGCGGATGGGACTTGATAGGTTTCCGTTGGGTCCTATTCGAACAGAGAACACTTATACCAACAAGAAAAAATCAATAAAAAGTTTAATCACAGTATCTTGTCAGTCGTCTTTAATGAAACATATATAAAAGAGGGGATGCTGCCTAAATAAATATATATATATATATATATATATATATATATATATAAAGAAATAATAATACATAGAATCAGTCAGCAATATTAATGCGATTAATGGCGAAATCACTTCGCTAATAGAACATAATGTATGCATTAAAATATTGTTAATCCATTGAATGATGTGATCCTTATTTATAAATCTGTTGTCAGATGTTTCTAGTGTATATATTTTTAAGTTAAGCAAGTACTTTCGAAGATCCATGTTTTCATCATCAGGCTGTAATTTTTTTTCCTTTAAAGTTAAAACTTGAAGACGAAATAATGGTTTGTAGACCGAAAGATGTTTTTTAAGAATGTGCTTTTTATTGACGGTTGTACAATCTCGGAACGTGCGAGTCGCAACGCTAAAGTTCAAAATTTCAAGTGAGAATTTTTATATGAATTTTGTAATATGGTAAATCCACTAAGTAATATAGTCTTAAGATGTACTATATTTATGGCATAAAGTGCTCAATATCAGGGATAGAGCGTGTGTAAATATAAAGTGAACATAAAGTCAACACTTAGAGGCGTCAGTCTGTTTTATGCTATATGCAATCGTCAGGCCTGATGATTGCATCTAGCATGAAACAGACTGTCGCCTCTAAGTGTTGACTTCTATGTTCACTTTTATATATATATATATATATATATATATATATATATATATATATATATATATATATATACAAGTTACATTGAAGACTATTGAGAAGGCACTGCAATTAAACTTTATTAATTAAAATTTATTAAATTTTTATTTTCTGGACATAAAGAGTTATTAGCTATTATCAAGGCTGTTTTTCAACTCAATATATATATATATATATATATAGAGAGAGAGATATAGATATATATATGAGGGTGGAAATATTTTTTCATTAATTTTTGAACACGGTCAGCCGATTCCGGCCGTGTTCATAATTGATATTGAAAGTTGGCTTCTTCTTTTTTATTAAGTATGCTTCCATTACATTTAAAGGTAATGTAGATGACGCTATTATGGTCGTATTTTCACATGTATGTTGCAGACATAGGCCTCCGTGTGTGATAGAATTGCTTCTTATGGAGCTATGTTCCCGAGAGATGTAAGCTGAGTTTTGTTGATGATTAATTTAATGCTCTGTTAAATATAATTATTCATGATCTTTTTTTTATCGTGAACGCACTTTCTTAAGGGCCATGTAAATTGATAAATAATATTTATACTCTATAAAATAAATCCCTTCACTATAGATGCATATATTAACTCCATATTCAGTTAAAAAAACATCCTTGATAGTGGCTGATAAATTAGCAGCAAGCGCTTAAACCCACAGAAAATCTGTACAGTTTTTACACAATATGTTCAGAAATGTAAATACTTGTACGAATGCAAGAAAAGAATTCATATAAAGTTTAATCGCAGAACCTTGTCAGTC